TTTTTTATAATGAAAAGTTCTGTATTTTAGTATTTTACCTGGTGCTACATATCCATATGTGCCTGCAAGAGCAGTCCAATTCGACGAGTCTGGATTCAAAAGCTTAGCAGTGCCGAAGTCAGAAACACAAGGCTCATAGTCACAGTGCAGCAAAATGTTGCTGCTTGTTATGTCTCGATGCACAATTGGTGGTGAGCAATCATGATGCATATAACACAACGCATGAGAAACTCCTTTTACAATTCTCACCCTTGTGCTCCAGTCCAATTTTTTAGCTTCATTCTCGTTGCTCAAGATTGCAGCCAAGCTACCTGTTTCCAAATACTCATAGACCAAAAATGAGTGATGGGCACTTGAACAAAAGCCAAGAAACTTCACAATGTTTCGGTGTCGTATCTGAGTTAAGGCCCTTATTTCATTTAGGAACTCCTTCCGAGATCCCTCCTCACCATCAAGTGTTTGATAGAATTTCTTCACTGCAACAATGCTGCCTGATGGGAGCTTTGCCTTGTAGACACTTCCCTGTCCTCCCTTCCCGATGAAATGGACGACATCAAAACCATTGGTTGCTTCCATGATTTCTCCATACATTTTTCTTCCGTCAAAATTAGATATTGAGAAAAAGCTTTCGTGCATATTGCTCTGTTCGATTTCCTGTTCTTGCTTTCTTCTACTTCTTCTTCCAATCAAAACAAATGCCAGGAAAGCAAGTAAAAGTGTTCCTAAGATAGGGAAAATGATTAAGAACGCCTTCCTTGAGGTATGCTTATGCTCCACAGAATGATTGCAGGGTTTTAGTCCTCCAACGTTGCCACACAATCTGTTATTCCCTTCCATTCGAGCATTTTGAAATGCCTTGTTGTTGGGGATTGGACCCTGCAGTTGATTGTAGGATATGTCGATGTCATTCAAGCCATGCATTGCATCAAAACTTGTTGGAATGAGACCGGTAAGATAATTGTGGGAAAGATTCAACGTCTCCAAGCTTTCCATACGGCTAATTTCTGATGGTATTTTACCCTCAAGTGAGTTATGACTTAGATCAAGTTGGGACAGATGAACTAACTTCCCCAACTGAAATGGAATTTCTTGACTGAACTTGTTATTGCTCAAATTCAAATAGTGTAATTTGAGTAAGTCACCAAAAATGACTGGAATTGACTCATTGAATTTGTTGGTGGACAAGTCAAGATATTCAATATCAGTCAACGATCCAAATTCTGAGGGTATAGGACCCCAAAGTTGATTGCCATTCAACATCAATTTCTCCAAAGAAGTCAATCTCCCAAAGTCCTTGGGAATCACCCCTACTAAACTATTGGAAGAAAGATCAAGTTCATGAATTTGAGTTGCATGGCTAATCTCAGGTGGTATTCTACCAGTAAGGTTGTTCCCCGCAATTCGTAGTGTTGCTAACTGCGGACACTGTCCCCAGAGTTGCGAAATTTCACCGTGCAAGTTATTGTGGCTTAGGTCAATAAATCGAAGATTTGGATAAGCACCAAAGTCTTCAGATATATTTCCTGTCAGTTGGTTCCCTTCAAGATGAACTCTCACCAAGCTCTTGCAAGTTTTCAAGCTTTTGGGGATTGGACCTATGAAATGGTTGGTGTGTGCTGTAAAGTTTTCTAGTGATCCGCCTTGGAAAATATTTTGGGGCAAATAACCAGAAAAGTTGTTAGTGTCCAATTGCAGCATAGTCAACTTCATGAGATTCTCCATCTCTTGGGGGATGGAGCCAGAAAGTTTGTTAGCTTGTAGGAATAAGATTTCTAGGTTGCTCAAGTCACCGAGTGAAGTGGGGATGGAACCATTGAGTTGATTATGGCTCAACTCTAGATTCACAATAGATTTCAAGTTCCCTATCTCTTTTGGAATTGTTCCGGAAAGATTATTTTTATAGAGATAGAGAAGGGTGAGGTTTGTTAGATCACCTAATGATGACGGGATTGGACCAGATATATTGTTATTATAAATGTATAATTCCACTAGAGACTTCAAATTTCCTATTTCTGAAGGGAGAAAACCAGAAAGCTGATTGTTGTACAAGCATAACGTGGTCAGGTGTTCTAAATTTCCAAAACTTGGAGGAATGGCACCGGTTAAATAGTTTTCCTGCATGTACAACCCCTCTAAATTGGAAAGATTACCAAGAGAAGCTGGAATTGGACCTTGTAGATTGTTGGTTTCCAGAGCAAGCTCATTAAGAAACTTAAGCTGACCGATTTCTTGAGGGATTGAGCCATTTAATTGGTTCCCAAATAGGTGCAGGACTTGAAGATTATTGAGAAGACCAATTTCTGGTGGGATTTTCCCAGACAACTGATTATAAGAAAGGTCAAGATAGATGAGTTTAGAGAGGGAACTGATCTGAGATGGGATGGCACCAAAGAGTTGGTTCAAGCTGAGGTCAATGTATTCGAGATTAGGGAGGGACAGGAATGGAAATTCATATAGCGTACCTTGTATCCCAGAATTGGTGAGGTTGATCCTGTTGACACTTGCAGCAGTGTTGCATGAAATACCAGTCCAAACGTTGCATGGAATTGTATTTGCTTTTGGATAGTAAGCCCATGAGGTCAGATTATTCTTGGTTTGATTTTGAAAGCTAGCTTTCCATTTGAGAAGAGCCTCTGCTTCAAGAGAAGAAGCAAAAGCAATGTTTGGTGATGAGTACAGCTGGACATACGAGATAAGGCAAGCTAGACAGCATAATAAATATGTCATTGTGTTTTTGTTTATGCATATAATCGTGTATTTGATGGCTTTATTTATAGCTATTATTCTACATGCACTGATTCCGTTTTGAATTTTGGATAGGAGAAGACTTTTTAAGTCTTTCCTACACCGCAAAAGTCATTGTCTTACATTTCTCCATAAATTATTTAATGCAAAATTTTGAATATTCTTGTTGAATTTGATTGATGAAATTGACATAATAGTTAACATCTTGGATGCTTGACAATGTGTTGTCCTTTGTTTTTGGTTGTTGAAGAACGTAAAATACTACGTTGGAGAGAGAATGTAAAATAACATGTTGGAGACTTAACCAAACAAAATACAACATACAAGTGAGTAGTTTAAATGGTGGAGTTTCAATTTTGCCTATGCATGCAGGTGTCTTAACTGACAGAATGGGTCAATTGGATTTGATTCGCTGACGATGCTAACCCTAATGACCAAAATCAGAAAATTGAAATTTCGGTGACCAAATTTAAATTCTACCATAACCCTAGTGACTAAAAGTGTAATTGCTCCTAAATTAAATGAAAATTTTGAATTTTGGATGGGAGAAGACTTTGAAGTCTTTCCTACACCTCAGTTACAATCATTGTCTTACATTTCTCCACAAACTTAATGCAAATTTGAATTTTTGATAGGGTAAGACTTTTTAAGTCTTTCCTACACCTCAGTTAAAGTCATTGTCTTACATTTCTCCATAAATGTAATGCAAAATTTTGAATTTTCTAGTTGAATTTAATTGATGAAAATGACAGAATAGTTAACATCTTGGATGGTTGACAATGTTCGTCCTTTGTTTTTGGTTGTTGAAGAATGTAAAATACCATGTTGGAGACTTAACCAAATAACATACAATATAAAAGTGAGTAGTTTAAATGGTGGAGTTTCAATTTTGCCCATGCATGCAGGCATCTTAACTGACAGAATGGGTCAATTGGATTTGATTTGTTGAGGATACTAACCTCAGTAACCAAAATCGGAAAATTGAAATTTTGATGACCAAATTTAAATTCGACCATAACCCCAATGACTAAATGTGTAATTGCTCCTATATTAAATAAAAATTTTGAATTTTGGATGGGAGAAGACTTTCAAGTCTTTCCTACATCTCAGTTAAAGTCATTTTCTTACATTTCTCCATAAATTTAATGCAAATTTTGAATTTTGGATACGGGAAGACTTCTTAAGTCTTTCTTACACCTCAGTTAAAGTCATTGTCTTACATCTCCATAAATGTAATGCAATTTTGAATTTTCTTGTTGAATTTAATTGATGAAATTGACAGAATGGTTAACATCTTGGATGCTTGAAATTGTTCGTCCTTCGTTTTTTGTTGTTGAAAAATGTAAAATACCACATTGGAGACTTAACCAAATAAAATACAATATACAAGTGAGTAGTTTAAATGGCGGAGTTTCAATTTTACCCATGCATGCAGGCGTTTTAACTGATTGAATGTGCGAATTGGATTTTTATTTATTTATTTATCAAAGAGTAAGAAACCTTCATTCCAACCATAAGAAACTTTCATTCCAACCAACAAACATACAATTTGCAATCAAAATAGGGATGCAACAAGAGGTGGCATCTTTAAACCCTTGCCATAAAAACCCCCAATGGAGGAAATCCTGTCAAGGGAAAAGAGTACCACAACATCCGAAAACGATAACCAAAACAACTTCCCACCCTTCATGTCTGTTACCAACAGTGGTACAAACCAATCAAGAGCAAGACCAATGCATAAAGAAGGATGTTGTTTGCGCAACCCAAACAGCGCTAAAGAGTGAGCGACCCGATTACCCAAACGTGAATGAAAAAGAACATCACTAACAGACAATTGTACTAGCAATAGTGGGTCAATTGGATTTCATTTGCTGACAATGCTAACCCCAATGACCAAAATCAGAAATTTGAAATTTCGGTGACCAAATTTAAATTTGACCATAACCCTAGTCACTAAAATGTAATTACGAATAAATTAAATTAAAATTTTGAATTCTGGATATGAGAATGTTAGAAATATGCCCTTAAAGCCAACTAATTATGTAATAGTTAGAGTTAAGGACATCTTTGATAAAAGACATATTATGTTATCAATGGACAAGAAAGGTTGTTTTATACATTAAATCATCCTACATTATCTTTCAATATGTAGAACAATCATAATCCAAAGAATACACAAGTGAGTATGCGAGCTATATAATGAGATTGCAAACATGGAGATTTCTCAACATCCCTAAATCCTGAATATGTTCATGGTCATAGGAATATTGATTAGGTGTTAATATTCTGCAAAGACCAGTACACACAGTATCGTCTCTATATGTAGGGAATGGCAAGGTCTCAAGTCATTAAGTGTGGAGACGCATCGATATGTGTGTAGGTGCTCATAGAAGAACAAGTACACTGAACGTGATCCAACACATGTGTTATAGCATGGAAGTCTTTACTCACATGTCAAGCTGTAACTCATAAATTGCAATGGTGAAAACTAATCCTTAGACTTGAGGCATCATAGATGTTTTGTGGTTCTGTTGTTAATCTTTGAGGGCACTATACGGTCATGCTGAATTAGGCATAGCTCTAAGGTGCTCATCAGGATTATAAATAAAGTCATGAAATTAAATGAATGTACAACAAGGAATCTCTACTCTCAGGGGGGTGTATTCAATTGGAATTTTAAAAGACTATTTTGGGATAAATAAGTTTTGTGGTATTCAATTAAGACTTTTAAATCATCTAAACAAGTCTTGTGGTATTCCTTTAAAACTATTAGGATTTTTAAATGAGGGTGTCGAAATCTAGTGGTATTCAATCAAGACTTTAAACAAGTAACAAAAAGTTTTATGGTATTCAAAAACTTGCTAATTTCGACGGATTTTTTTAAATGTGAGATTTTGTGAGATTTTTTAGTGGGAGGTATAAATACCAAGCCCCATCTCAAATCCCACCCTAACCCATCGGATTTTTCATGTGGGATTATTTTTTCTCTCTCTCTCTCTAACTGCTGAAGAAGATGAACAACAAAGCAAGCTGCAAGCCCAAGCCGAGCTTTTCCTAGACACCCACCAACTTCAGATGCTAATAACAACGGGGTATTGTTAAACTCCTTGGTTCCAAGGCAAAGCACATGTTTCCCCGCCAAGAAACCCAAAAAACCCAATATTCCAACATAAATCAAAAACAGAAAAGAGCAAGCAGACATTTGACCTGAAAATCTGGCATGGTAGGTGTATGCGATTATGTCCCAATGACCCAGGTTCCTTGTATTTTGAATAGTGCTTCCTTTTTTATTGTGTTTGATCAAGATTCATGAAAAGAAAGCAAATGTATTTTTGGAATGTAATTAATAGGTGCATTCTTTGCTCTGCGTCTAGTAGAGCAAGCAACATAGAAAACTATTCCAGTTAGCTTTACTACTAGTGAACCTGCAAGTTGCAGCTACCTAGTTTGATTTGTATATATCTTATGTATGCTCAACCGATTTCAAGGCAAGTTATTTTTTCTCATTATTTGATGATGTCTTGATGCTACGTGTTATTGTTCAAATCAAATGGTGATTGTATGGGAGGAAGGAATGAAAAGCAGAAAACACAATGACTAGGAAAAGGGTGATGATAAATTAAAAAGAAATATGAATAATGAATGGTTTCTTGATGTACAACTTGGCTAGATGGCTTGCAATTTGCCAACTTGGTTAGTATGTCGTCCTATAAGTCAAATATATGAGGGTGAATGTGATGTTATTGTTGACCTTTCTACACATACCAATGAGGCTTCAAACCTATCTTCCTTCTCAAATGCAAGTTTTCTGCAAAAGGAAATGAAACTAGCGAAATAAACAGCTGCTTGCACATGAGATCTTCACTGGACTAGGCGGAGGAATCAACAAATTGCTGTTTCTTTTAAGTAATCTGATTCTGATTCTCAGGGGACTTGGTGCTCGACAACAAAAAGTGAAGAATGCCATCCAAGGCATGTGATATATTGTGTTTGAATTAATATAGTCTATGGCATGTGTAAATAATTTGACTAATTTATTACACTATGCAAAGTACGGAAAATGATGGATAAATAAATCCACATGATCCTTCCAAATCTAATAAATCCTATAATGTAAATCTTTAAAATCCAAAAGTAAAAAATCTTGATTGTAGAAATTTATAAATAAAATCCTATAAATCATTACATTCTGCTTAAATCCAATGGACTTTTTTATCCCTAAATAGTCTTTTAAAATATCAATTGAATACACCCCCCTTAGTAAAAGAGAGAACATTCACTACTACAAAAAAGGAAAAACACGACGGGAATTCACCGTCGTGTATTCTGTTTTCAAATGGTCGTGGAATCCACCGACATCTTTTCCATAACAAAACCACGACAGTAAATAACCGTCGTTGTTAAAACAAAAAACATCATCAAAAAATAAAAACCGACGTCTTTGTACTACAAAAAGAAATAAAAAAAACAGTCGAGGATGAGAATAGACGACAAACTCCAACAAAAAAACGTCGTTAAAAAGGAAACATATGACATATATTAACAGAACATGGCCGCAAGATAAACATAATAGTTAACATCTTGGATGCTTGACAATGTGTTGTCCTTTGTTTTTGGTTGTTGAAGAACGTAAAATACTACGTTGGAGAGAGAATGTAAAATAACATGTTGGAGACTTAACCAAATAAAATTATATATATACTAAAACTGAGTTCACGATTTCACTGTTCCTAGACTGTAGCTTAGGAATAGTGAATTGCCGATTTTGCCC